TTGTAGACTCTTAAAAATGAGTTTCTTGAGGTTTTGGTTCAAATATTAGTTTCTGGGTGAAATTGATGATTTTAGCTTGATATTATTGATGATTATTTGAAGATAAACTCTTATTAAGATGATGATTCATGTATTTGAGAGTGGTATTTGAAGATTAGGATATGCATGGTAGGTATTTGATGAAATGTTCAAATATAAGTCCTCTGTACAGCCTATGTAGATTCTGTTTTCGTGCCATATATACTTATGATTTTGACTGATCTTATATTTTTCTATTAAAGTATACATCTCGAGCTTTACATGAGTTTTTGAATCACTCCAAACTGATTTTTCTAAATTTAGTTATGAATTTTATAAGTTCAGTTAAAAAGCTTTTATTTTCCTGACGAGATTATACTTCAATCTGGATTTCGGGCTGTTTTTGGTTAGTTTGAAAAATCCGAAACCCATCATGTAGTAGCTCTAAAAAGAGGGTTTTGAGCCTACTTTTATTTGCCACTGGTCTCATAATGTTTTGAGTTTTGATGAATTCGTTATGAATATTTTCATAATATTGCACAGTTATGTGTTTGTTAAATGATTATATGAATGTGATTTTTGAAAGCTATGGTTTTTAAAGGTTAATTAGCACATTGAAGGCTCCCCACAACCAGCTAGTTTGTGCTTGCAAAGTGGTGATCAAAATTCAGGTAAGTAGAGTTAAAAGCATTTCAAAACTGCATCACAAGACCTATTTGACTTAACTTGTTCAGAATTATGATTATATAAGTTTATTCTCTTATGAAATTCTTATATGATTATGTTCAAAGAGTATTCATGATTAATTATTTTGAAAGAGATTATGATTTATGCTTATTATGTTTTTATGTTTTAAGAGATTTTATGGTATGGTATATGGATGAGAGGCTGGGTAAGCAGGGGTGCGAGGGACCGGTACCCCAAATTAGAGAAACTGTCTCTTTGAGACAACTAGAGAAAAATGGTAGTAGGAAGTTTCTTGTTGATCACAAGAAAAAGAGATTCTAAAAACCCCGCTTAGTGTTTAAGAGAAGAGAATTGGCCAAAACTAGAGAAGGTCCTGTATAGAGAGGCTTACTTGGAACCGAAGTTCTGTATCATACCTAAACTAAGAATAAGTATGAAAGTGTATGAACAATGATTAACAAAGAGATTTTAGTCACATAGATTTTAGATACTTACTTGATTTGAAATCTACTTACTGAGTTTTTGCTCATTAGTTTTACCTCGTGATGCAGATGATGTTGTTGTTACCGAAGAGTAAAAAGAAATATGATTTCCAAGGTTAGCTGAGTACTCCAAGTCTTACATCTAGCATCTTGCTTATATGTACTTCCAAACACTAGATGGGCTCAAAATGTTTTTATTTTGTTACGATGTCGCTTTTGAATAACTATTTAATGTTTAAGATTTGTGGTTGCACACTTACTCATTTTGTTTAAAAACTTTTAAGAAAATTTTGTGATGAAATCAACCACAAGTTTTCGCATCTTAAAAAATGATATTGTTTTAAGTATAGAAAGTATGTTTTAAGTAGCACCACCTTGCTAAATTCGGCCTTAGACCGATTTAGCCTATGGGGGCGTTACATAATTTGACGATGATATACCAAAAGCCGAACGAGTTACTAAGGGAATGGCTCGCGAGATATGGGGAAGCTATCGCCGCCACGATGGATATAACAGATAGAGAGGCCTTGATGGGTGCCTTATCTAGTATGAAGAAAATTACCCCCTTCAAGAGAGAGTTGAACCGGAAACCTCCGTCCAGCTACAGGGAATTTTTGGCGCGAGTGCAGGGGTACATCAACGCTGAAGAGGCGGACGCAAACGACCCCGAGCACAAGTCCAACAAGAATAAAAGAACTGAACAAGGGTCGATGCCTGTGAAACAGGATGGGAAGAAGCGTCAAGGCGGAGGAAACGGAGATAAGCAGCCCGCCGCGACGACGAGCGCTCCAGAAGCCAAGAAGCCGAGGCAAGAGGATACCCGTAAGCCTCGACTGTTCCAAAAATATGATTCCTAACATGAGCTAACGGTAGGAGTCGAGGAGGTCTTCAATCAGGTCGGCCGCGGGAACTTGCTGCGCCGACCGGAACTGATGAAGTCAGATCCCAGCCGAAGGAACCATAAGAAATTCTGTAGGTTCCACGGCGATGTCGGCCACCACACCAACGATTGTGCCGACCTCAAGGATGAAATCGAGTGAGTGATCCGCGAGGGAAGGTTACAATAGTTCAGGGCCGAACGGAGACCCCGAAATGACGGCCATGGTGGGCAAAATAACGGTCGACGCCGAGAGGAGAACCAGCGCCCAGAGGATCGCGAACTCGTCGGTGTCATACGGACTGTCCTCGGCGGCCCCTATATAGGAGGAGACTCAAGGAGGTCTCAGAAGGACTACGCCCATGAGGCCAGGGGGTTTACCAGGAGCGATTCTGGAGTGTCTCTGCTGCAAAAACCTCAAGGTACAGCCACACCGACGTGGCCTTTAACGAAGATGACGCCAGTGGGGTTCATTTCCCCCACAACGACGCCTTGGTCATGGAAGCCATGATAGGAAACCACATCGTGTGCCGAATCCTGGTAGACAATGGGAGCTCGGTGGACCTTTTATACTCCGACTGCTTGGAGAAAATGGGGATCCAAAAGGAACAATTGGAAAAGACCTCCAGGCCACTATATGGTTTCACCGGGGACTCCGTCATCCCCTAGGGGACCATCCGGTTGCCTATAACCGCCGGAGAAAAACCCCGACAGGCTACCACAATGGCCAACTTTGTGGTTATAAAAGGAGGCTCCCAATACAACGCCGTGATTGGAAGACCAACCCTTCAGGCGCTAAGGGCCATAACTTCCGTCTACCACCAAAAGGTCAAGTTCCCTACCCCAAATGGCGTGGGCAAGATAAAGAGAAATCAGTACGAAGCTAGGGTTGCATACACCGATGCCCTATGCGGATATGACCAGCCGGGAAGACAGGAGGCTAGGGTGGTTTATCAAAACCCCGTTGAGGACATAGACCCCAGGGTTCAAGAGGAGGTCATATGGTCTCAACCCATCGAGCAATTGGTGGAAGTTCAAGTTGATGAAGGCGGGTCCACCAAAGTGCTGAAAATAGGCTCAGACTTAGCCTCATCGCTTAAAATTGAGATTGAGAGTTTCCTCACAAAAAACTTAGATGTCTTCGCTTGGAATCACGCCGACATGGAAGGGATCGACGCTAACGTTATCTATCACTCCCTAAACGTCAACCCCTCATATCCTCCCAAATGCCAGAAGCGTCGACCGATGAACTCCGAGAGATATGAAGCGCTGAGAGAAGAGGTCGATAAGCTAATCAACAATGGCTTCATCAGGGAGGCCCGTTACCCACGTTGGGTATCGAATCCCGTTCTAGTAATCAACAAAGCTTGCCCAAAGGACGGCTTCCCACTCCCATGGATAGATCAAATGGTCGACGCCACGGCAGGACATGAGATGCTGAGTTTTATGGACGCCTACTCCGGATACAACCAAATTCCCATGCACCCAGCCGACGAGGAGCACACGTCCTTCATAACCGACAGGGGCCTCTACTATTACAAGGTGATGCCTTTCAGACTAAAAAATGTAGGGGCTACCTACCAGAGGCTCGTAAATAAAATATTTGCTCAACAGCTCGGCAGGACAATGGAGGTCTACGTCGATGATATGCTTGTGAAAAGCGCCAGGACCAGCCAACACGTCGACCATCTGGGGGAAATGTTTGGTGTACTGAGAAAATACCACATGAAACTTAATCCCCAAAAGTGTGCCTTTGGAGTTGGGTCAGGGAAATTCCTCGATTTTATGGTCAGCAACCGCGGGATAGAAGCAAACCCTGAAAAAATTAAAGCCCTACAGGATATGCGGTCCCCAACTAAGCCAAAGGAAGTGCAAAGGTTAACAGGATGTGTCGCCCCCCTAAACAGGTTTATATCAAAAGCGATAGACAAATGCGTCCCCTTCTTCAATGCTTTAAAATGAAGCAGGCGTTTTGAGTGGACACCGCAATGTGAAGAGGCCTTCCAAAAATTGAAGGAACATTTGGGCAAGCCCCCAATTTTGGCAAAACCAAACCCCAACGAAGAGCTCAGCCTATACCTCTCCGTGTCCCAACACGCCGTAAGCTCCGTACTGATAAGAGAAGAAGAAAGGGTACAATTGCCCATCTACTATGTGAGTAAGAGGCTCCTCTACGCCGAATCAAGATACAGCGAAATGGAGCACTTAACCCTCGCCCTGATGGTAGCATCCAGAAAGCTTCGGCATATTTCCAATCTCATACCATACAGGTTCTCACAAACCACCCGTTGAGACAGGCTCTACAAAAGCCCGAAACTTCCGGTCGACTCCTCAAGGGTCGGTAGAACTAAGCCAGTTTGACATAAAATATGTGCCAAGAACTGCGATCAAGGGCCAAGCTTTGGCCGATTTCTTAGCCGAGTTCTCCCATAGGCCGGCTCTCACCATACCTGAAAGGGTCAAGACCACAGAGTGGAAGCTCTACGTAGATGGAGCATCGAGCGAAAGCGGGTCAGGAGCCGGCATCTTGTTGATCAGCCCAGAAGGCCACAAGATTACCTCGGCGGTTCGATTTAAATTCAATGCGTCGAACAATGAGGAATACGAAGCGCTAATCGTAGGACTACGATTGGCCAGCCACCTAAAGATCGAAAGGCCCAGCGTCTTTAGTGATTCTCAATTAGTCGTCGGGCAAGTAAGAGAAGAATATCAAGTGCGCGGCGAGAAAATGGGACCGTACTTAAGGAAGGTAAAGGAAGAACTCATTAAGTTCAAAAACTACGAGATACTCCAGATACCACAAACCGAAAACATGAACGCCGACGCTCTGGCAAAGCTAGCATCTTCAAGAGAGTCCGACACACTAGGGGTTGTTCCCATCGAAGAATTGGAGCGGCCGACTATTGAAGAAAAAGTTAAGGCATTAATCGTCCAAGCAGGTGAAAATTGGATGACGACACTCATCCAATACCTAATGGACGCACAACTACCAAACGATAAAGACGAAGCCAGACGGATCAGGTATAGAGCTGCTAGGTACTTATTGTACGACGACTTGCTCTACCGACGAGGCTACTCAACCCCTTTATAGTGGTGCTTGGATGATGCCGAAGCCCAGAAGGTCCTCCACGAAATCGATGAAAGAGTCTGCGGTAACCACACTGGGGGGCAATCTTTGGCTCTAAAGGTTTTAAGGCAAGGATACTAGTGGCCCACGCTAAAAAAAGATGATTTTCAGTACGCCCGACGTTGCGACAAATGCCAAACGTATGCCACAATTCCTAGAGCACCCCTAGAAAATTTAACCTCCATTCTCAGTCCATGGCCCTTCATCTTGCACCCGGAGGCTTTAAATTTGCAATCGTCACGGTGGACTACTACACGAAGTGGGCGGAGGCAAAGGCTCTAACTACAACCACGGAAGCAGCCTGCACCAAATTCATGTGGGATAACATCGTGTGCAGGTTCGGGGTTCCCCACTCAATAGTATCCGACAACAGAAAGCAGTTTAACAATGCCTCAACACGCAGATTCTGCGACAACCTGGGCATTCGGAAATATTTCTCGGCGCCAATCCATCCACAATCTAACGGACAAGTCGAGGTGGTCAATAAAATACTAAAGTATACCCTCAAAAAGATACTCGATGATATAAAAGGGAAATGGGCCGAGGAACTTCCCAAGGTCTTATAGGCATACAGAACGACGAGCCAAACTACTACGGGTGAATCACCTTTCTCCATGGCATACGGCGTCGAGGCAGTTCTCCCCGTAGAAATCGAAATGCCGACTCTATGAACCATCGTCCATAACGACAACGACAACACGGAAGGCATGAACGGAAGACTCAACTTGTTAGAAGAAAAAAGGCTCGACTCCCAACTGCGCCTCGCCGCCTATCAGCAAAGAGCAGCACGATATTACAATAAGAAAGTACGGCAAAGAAGGTTCATCCCAGGGGACCTAGTATTAAAAAGGATAACGTAGAGTACAAAACCCAAAAATATTGGTCCACTGGGCCCAACTTGGGAAGGGCCCTACTGCATAAGGGAAGTACTATGTCCTGGCACCTACATTTTGGAAAGCCTCGACGGCAAGAGAATTCAACACCCGTGGAATGCAGAACATCTAAGGCTGTACTACCAATAGTGTATGTAATTCTTACGCATCCCAATTGTACATTTTTTACAAATGAAATAAATTGATGTGTTTGCAGAAAGAAAGGAATTCACCCCTTAACAACATGTTTGCTTAAAAAACAAAGGTTATATCAAACAGACATGGGGGGACAGAGGTCCACAAATCACTAAAAACATGGCAAGACGACCCCAAGGGGTAAATTCGACATCAGATCCTCCAAGGAGGAAAGGCGAGCACTTAGCAAAATTCTAAGGAATTTTCTAAGACGGAGACCCCAAGGGGTACAATCGACGCTAGGTCCTCCAAAGAGGGAAGGCGAGCACTTAGCAAAATTCTAAGGAATTTTCTAAGACGGAGACCCCAAGGGGTACAATCGACGCCAGGTCCTCCAAGGAGGGAAGGCGAGCACTTAGCAAAATTCTAAGAAATTTTCCAAGGTACAGACCCCAAGGGGTACAATCGACGTCAAATCCTCCAAGGAGGGAAGGCGAGCACTTAGCAAAATTCTAAGGAATTTTTCTAAGGCGACGACCCCAAGGGGTGAAATCAGCGTCAAATTCTCCAAGGAGAAAAGACGGACACTTAGCAAAATTCTAAGGAATTTTCTAAAAACAACAAATTACAAAGCAAGGTATGAACAAAATCCGTTATCTGTATAAAAAAAAGAAAAGATGTATATATAGATAAAATGAAAAGATGTCCGAATCAATATTATGTTACAAATACAAAAAAGAGAGACAGGTAAAAATCAGTTCAGGCCTTGCCGCCAGCCACCGACTCATCGCCGTTACCAGGCGGGGAAACGTTGTCATCACCAGCAGGAGGAGGAGAGTTATAAAGGAAGCTCAAGTCCCACTCAAGACGCTCCTTCTTGATCAGATTGACAATTTGTTAACCTGCAGACTGAAAATCCTTGGTATGGATGTCAGTGAGCTCCTGAGAAGCCTTGAACTCCTCAATAATCTCAGCGCGCCTAGCATCGAAGGTAGCCGTAGCTTCTACTTCGGCTTCCCTCTTCCCTTTAGTCTTCCCCTCAGCAAAACGCTTCTTCGCTTCCCCAGCTGCTTCAGATAACTTTTTATCGGACAAATCTACCCGCTTCGTGAGATTCTTGACCTCAGCCTTCAACTTTGCCAGTTCATCTTCCAAACTCGCTAGCTTGGCCACGGCCACGTCCCTCTTCTCGACGGCATCATCTAGCTATTTTTTGGCATCGGTAACAAAGGAGTTGAGTTTGGCTTCCATGTCATCCATCTCCTTATCGTGCTCCTCAACCTTAACTAGGTCAAGGAGGTTAAAGATGGAAAGGACCAGGCTCTGAAAAGTCAAAGGTCAGAAAAACAGAAATATAAAAAAGAAAAAACTCTCGACAAGATCTTACGTGGATTTGGAAGGAGATTTGTTTACGCTGACGGTCGACCAAGGAAGATTGGGCGGTAGCAACCCAGTGTGGCTCAAGGAAAGACTCATAGAGAGCCTGAAAGACGAGGGAGAAGCGAGGGGGAAGTTTTAGCATCACCCCAATCTCGGCGCCAGATACGTCCGGGACTTGAAACGTGGGATCCATGATTTTAGCCCCCGGAATAAGTACGCGTTCTCTCGGCGCCAGAGGAATGTCGCGTCAGGAATAGGGACTGCCGGCGTCCACGTCTCTACCATCGGCATTTTTTCCTTGCGTCTCTTTTTCCGCGTAGGATCCATTTTCGACCCCGAAGGGCCTTTGGTCTTCTTGCTCCTCGGCACGTGGGAAGAAGAGCTAGCTTTCTCCTTTCCCTTCGACGGGGGCTGCTGGCTCGGCGGGGGTTGTTGATTCAACGGTGGCTGCTGGCTCAGCCCGGATTGCTGGCTGCCAGGGAGTTAGATTCTCAAAGACGCCATTTCTACAGGAAACGATGAGATAAAGATATAGTCAGCGATTGAAAAACCTAAGCCACGATAAAGAAGGGCGTCGAAAGTAGAAAATACCTTTGGCGCTTAAGTGAAAGTATTGACGGACGGCGTCTAAATTGGCGGGGTCTGGGAGATCAAGGATTAACCTGGCACTTCGAAGGTTGGCCTAGGTCAGGAGGGTGTCTATATGGCGAACCTCGGACCGGTACGAAAAGGCCTTCTCGATTCTCGCCAAGCTGTTCCCAGAGAACTTCGGCCGGTCCTGGTTAACTGAAAGAAGAAAGATTGTCGGCATACGAAGAAGAAGAAAAAGGCAAAGTGAGGTAAAAGAAAGCCAAAATTCTCACCCATGTTCCCAAACGCCGCCTGCACCTGCCTTCGATGTGGTAGGCGGTCGTTGGGGTGAAAATTGAAAGGCCCGCGAATCATGAAAAACATGAGTTTCCACCCATGTGACGAAGAGGGAATCCCCAGTATCAACTTCCCGAATCTGGGCAGAGATCTCCCGTGTCTGCTAAAAAAATACCACCCCTCACACTTAGCGATGTGGCATAGTTTGTACATAAACCGGAACTCGTCTACAGGGAGTTCCATATCAAACTTTTGGTGCCAAAAAATCCAGGTGCCGGTAAAGCAGTACCAGAAGTTCGGCGCCAGTTGAGCGGGGGAAATGCCATAAAAATGGCAATAATCCTTTACGAAAGGATGAACGGGGAGGGTCATCCCCGCCGTAACGGCTCTAGTATAAACCGGGAGGTACTCGGTCGGCGGCATGCTAGTCCTAAAATGCATGTGTGGGAAGAGGTATTCAAACCACCTCCCGTCGATGCATTCCTCCTTTACAGCCCGGATAATATCTTTATTTTGGACCCTCAACGCCACAACATCGGCGGTAAAAAAGGGCCTATCCGGATCACCACTTGTGCAGCTAGCGGGGCATCTACCATCGAGGCAGCCACCCCGCCTACACTGCCTCTCGTGAAGGGGATCCGTTCTACCGCCTCGTCCAACATCCGCTCTACGCTACCAAATTCACTACCGAAGCTGTCGCTTGGTACATATCTGGCTTCATATCCGGCCCCGACGTCTTCTATGTCTCTCAACATGGAGTCGATGCTTGAAGACGAAGAAGACCAAGAGATCTCCACCATTGAAGGGGAGTCTGGACGGATGACGGAAGAATCCTCTCGACTGGGGGAATTTTGGGCCATTGTTCTGATGATTAAAAAAGTAATGAGCTGAGTTAAAATCCTAACGTTGAGAGGAAGAAAATGGTGACTATTCTAAATGATGACTACTAATACGCCTCGACTTGACGTTGACCATTCATATGAGAATGGCAACGACGAGTGTTCATAGAATTTCAAGTCCCTCAGAAACCAGAAACCAGAAGAACACAGACAACAGTAAGATGGAAACAGAACTGTCCTATGCGGCAAAGTAAAACAGAGTGAGTAAGAAAAATGAACAAAGGATGATGAAGCTTACCGGTGAAAAAGGGATTCCGGGGAGAAAATCTCAGGTTGAATACAGCTTCGCGACACACCTTGAGAAGCAAGAAGTACGAATCGAGGTTCTATGGAGAAGGATTCCGACGGAACAAAGGGCAGTTCAGCA